ATAATTTTTATCTGCAGTACTTTGTTACTAATGATAAAAAGTGACTTCAAAACAATGACTTCTGCCTACAGTGTTATCATTGGGTAGAAGTAAAATTGCTATATTCCCACTTTATACTGGATACTGCAAACATAATAGGTAGTGCTGATATAACTCACTAGAGCTGACTGACTGACCTGTAATTTAGCCAATATGACTGTAAATATTAGCCTTGGATACCTCTCAGACATTCGTACCCTGAAAAATAATCTGCAGAATCTTGGGTACAGTTCTTGGTGCTTACTCAAGTAAGCTGAAGTAGGACTATAAGCTTTCACACTACTTTGGTTCTTCTTAACACCGCTCTGAGAGTTTCCTTCCTGTATTTCTTTTTGGATTTACTACCTACTGGGAAAGCTGTGTTGTAAAAGAAGTTGCTTAATGTGAAAAGAAGGGATGATATGCAGTTGGAGTTGTTTTAAACAGAGGTAGAAGCTTGTTCCACTTTAGTGTGGTTATCATTGTTTATTTAATAATGTGTTTTCTCAGTGTAAACCTTAATGGTGAGATCAAAGGCAGTTATGCTTGCTATAACTTTAGAACACAAATCCATGAAACCAACTTCTAGTTACAAATGCCAGCCTGAAAAAAACCTCACACTTTCTTCTCAGTGTGTTCTTGTCAACACACACATTCTGTACAATGTGATAAGACACTTTTAGTTAACATGTGCATGCAACCAAAATAGATTAAAGGCATGTACTGATTTAAGACAGTACAGACTAAACAATCAGGAATTTAAGGCATGTTAGAAACAGGGAGGGAAAGTAATTGTGCTCATTTATTCAGTTTTAAAATGAAACAAAAATTATTACATAGCTTTCTAAATGACAGTCAGAAATTAGTCTTTTGAAACAGTAAGCATACAAAAAATTGAGTTTAGGAATATGAGAAAAGCACTCTAAGTTTACTAAAAAGAAAAGTAAGTACAGTAGATTGCCCCACTGTATTTGCATATGTATAATGAAAGTTCCAGCAGTCAGCTGCTTACTTTATAGTATCTTTAAAAACTTTAATAGGGTGTTGTTCCTCTGGTCTACAAGAATCTGGCCTTTACGTCCTTATCAATGCCTGTGTAATTCCCCTTGCATGGGATGCAAGTTACAGACTTGTAATAGATGACAAAATTGTCATGCAGTCAGAATTCTGGTTTAACTCACTAAATGCACAGTGCAGCAGAGCTAGATACCGTGCTGGGATCTGCAACATGCTCTGCTTTCCATGCAATATGCTAAGCATTCTCACATCATAGAATCTTAGGTGTTCTAAAGAGCGCTGAGGAAACTAGCTCATTTGTGTCCTGAAGGGTAGGTAATTCCTATTTTGAGTCCTTATTCTTAAAATGAGTTCTAATATATACTAAAAACCTTGCAGTTCTGCAGTGTCTATTTAGCCAGCCTAAAGAAATCACTGTGAAGTCCTAACACTGCTGTCAGATGAAAAGGCAAAAAGAAAAACAAATAGCAGAAGTCAAAATCATTTTGCATTAACTCTCACACTCTGTCCCTTAAAATGCATTTTTTGTTCTTGTTAAGATTTGGTTTTGCCAAGCTGTTGTTCAGATTCCTAGTAATCATTACAGGTTGTTAAAATTGCCCTTTTCATCATGCCTTTGATATGTAAACTGACTTTTCTTGTATTAGGCTGTGAGAATGGTAGATGATGCTTCCCAGCTGCTGGGACAGACAAAGCATTTCATGACAGTTTCATGAAAAATATTCTGTCCTGTCTCTTGCAACCCCCACACTTTTCTCTCCAGATCAGCCTTCTTCCCCCTCAAAAAAAGTGCAGCTAGGTCATGTTGCCTAACATCTTATTCCCCTGCTGCTGACCCAGCCTAGACATGGCATCAGTACTGGGGTAGGATATGCCAGCTTCCTCAAGGCAGAAGGGAGCATGAAATAGGAGAAATTGAGCTGAAAAGTTCTCAGGGGATGAGGGAGGTGTATTACAAGTTGCATACTTTAAACAAGTGGAGCGGAATCTCTTGGAACATGCACACAGATATTAGCTGCTTAGATTTCTATCACTTACAGGCAGTTCATACCAAGTCAGGGAAGTTAAATCAAGTTTGAGATAATATGAAAGATAGGGCAAAAGCAGACCGATCAAGTAAGTCAAAGTCATTTAAAAAGGTCCAGCAGAAAGTGATTGGGCCTCAAAAAATGAGGCCAGCAGCTAATACAAAATAAAGCAACCCACTTTCATAGAAAAAAGCAACCCACTTTCTTAGGCAGACAAAAAGCATATGCAAGGGCTGTTATTTTAGTGCAGCTGATATGCTCAAGAGCCATATCTTCATCTGTCTTTGATAACTTGCTGCTTTAGATATACTCATGGGTGCCTCTGGCTATATGTAGCCTAAAGGCCAGCAGTCAAGAATAAAAGGTGCAAAACTAGTATTATTACCTGTTTGTTAGGAGGTTTTGTGCTGTCTTTAGGTTAGAGAAAATAGCATGAGGACAGCAATGCTCTTAAGTCCAGGCTTTTAATTCAAAAGGACAATCAAACTGCCTTCAGAACTGCTTTGGGCCATCTGAGCAGCAGACTAAGAACAAGTACCTGGCCCAGTACCCCACTGTTCTATGCCACTAGAAGGGATGAGGTGGTGTTATTTTTTCTGTCTTATTCTTAGACAGGGAGATGGAGTGTTTTATGGTTTCTTCTCTTTGTCCCCTGTCTGCCACCTGCCATTGGTGAGGGTTCAGAGGTCAGAGACTCACATGTTAAGTGAGACAGCCTGAAACTTCTGTAAGGTAACTATGACTTTTAAAAAGCAAAGAAAAAATTGAATGTCTTAGAAGAAAGACAGAGGCATAATTAATATTAAAAATCACATAACTATTGAAAAATCATGTCCCAAGTTGCAGTTCAGTCAGGTAAAAGAAGTTACAACAATCAGCAGAGATTCTTTTAATCGTACCAATAATCACCCGCTATACACAAAATACCAAAATATACAGGGTCAATGGGTCATCAGGGATACTGACTTTTTAGTTAAGAGAACATGGTCAATTCAAAGTCCATTACCTACATATACTTGTGAAAAGCAAACAGGCAACTATAAATTCACCTAATGTAGGTAAAAATTTAATGAAGGATCGTTGATCACTCAGAGAATTTGATGTAAAAAGACCACCAAGTTAAGAAGCCTCTCTCCATAGTTCTGTGGATACTAGAGTGGTGTTTGACTTCATCAGTGGATAAGTAAGTATGAGTCGTGTTCCAACTGAATGTTACTGAGTGAGCAGCTGGGGTTGCAGGGACTTTATTGTTTTGTCCTGTAGATGTGTGTAATATGCAAAATGCTAGAAATAATTACATTTCATTTAGAAGTTGAAAAGATCCACCTGAAGTGTAAGTTTAGCCAAGGCCACAAACTTAGATGAGTTTCAAATACACATAGTATCTTACCATGCCAAAGCATCTCAAGGCTTTTTATAGATGATCTACAATACACAATACCACTGTTAAATGAATGAAAACAAGCAAATCTTTGGTTTGAGAGGCAATAGCCGAAATACTCAGCAACAAAAACAAGTAGCAGAGACAGAATGTCTGAAAATGGAAGAATGAAACAAGGTCAATAAAGAGTACCTAAGGCACCTTGTTTAATAATCATCTTTGCTACACTCCTTAAGACCTCCAAATAACATATAAAACTGTAAATGCTAAGGAATGTGAAGATGAAACAGCTGAGGAGACTGAAGATGAAAGAGCAGAGGACAAAATACATTACTCTTATTCATAGTTAAAATTCCTATGATCAGAAGTTTTGAATAAATATATTCTTTTACATGATAATGAAGTAAAGAATCAGAGCTAGAAAAATGAAAGGAGGAACCAACAGCGTTAAGAGTAACTTCATCTGACATTCATGAATTGCAAGTTAAAGTGAAGTAGAAAAAAAGTCTGGACTCAGAGATTGGGATATTTTCTCTAATGTCTAATGCATTTCTCAGTCTCAAGTACTACAGAAGGGGGAAATATCCCCCTTAATTTAAAAAAATAAAAGAATGGGAGAGTCCAGTCTGTTCTTAGTTCAGGAATATGCACTGTACAGCAGGAATTTCAAAACTGTCCTTATAAAATAAAAAGAAGTATGCAAAGGAGAATTTTGAAGAGGGATGGGAATTTGTTTATTCTACAATAAATATTTTTAATCACTTACTTAGTTGAGACTTTCATCAGATGCAGTATGTAGTGGACTAGTAATATAAGCTAGATCTGAGGACAGAATGGTTAAGTCTTGGTTTGGCCACTCCTCCCTGCAAATCAATACCAATAGAAAAAAAAAAGGGCAGGAGGAGAATTCCATTACTACTCTGCCTCAGTACAAGATGGTTTGTGAAAGTGAGTCAGCTTTACTGAGTCAGCTCCCTGTTCTTATACTAGAAAAGAGCTTATAATTAAAGCTCTCTTTAACATAACCAGTTTATTACATGTTTGCTGAATGGGGTGCAGGATGCTCAGTTTCTAAATTTAGAGCCAGAGGGAAATTCATCAAGAAAAAAAAAGCCAACAAACCTCAATCCATTTCAGTCTCTGCCCTTGTTTGAATAGTAGTTCATTTATACACACCTCTAAAAATTTCAAAACACTGTGAGAAGTGTAGGTTTCCAAATGTATGCAGCAGAACAGGAAGTTAGGTTAGTTGAACACTTCAGGGGATATAAATACTTCTAAGGTTTTTTTTTCCACAGAATTTCAGGACTATCAAACTAAGTCTGCAAGAGCCAGAAGCCTTTACATTTTAATGCATCTTAATTAAAAACTGTACAACAGCATGTAGTGTTCATGAAGATGATTGTTAAGCTTTTGGCATTTTTAGGAAAGCACATCAAGCTTTAAAGTAGAATAAGACTACTGTCTTTCAGTACCTAGATTTTGTGCTCACAAAGTACAAAAAACCCACAGACATTTTCACCATTGTCTGCTTTTACCTTGTGTTCTCCCCTCAGGTATGGCCCATTTCCTGTTCCCTCGGAGCTACCTTTGGCTATATGGCTGGTCTGATTATTGCACCTCTGTGGATACACTGGAACCGGAAGCAGCTTACATACAAAAGCAGATAACTGGAGCAAAGAGAGACAAGGTATTTCTTTGTGCAGATTCCATACAGACTGTGCAAAAGTTGTTTTTTTAAGATATATATATATATATATTTATATATAGTCAAAGCAGAAGACTGTCCAAATTCAGTTAGAGTATTTCAGGCCAAGCATCTCCACTCATTAAAATCACATAGATGCCGTTTCAGCATGGTGCAGTTTTTGCTTCCTCTAGACTATGTAACCCTGAGAGATTGTACCTTCCAGTCTGAATAAAATATTTGTAACAGGTGTGGTGGCTTCTTATTACAAGTTTGTTGACTTTGATTTTATTCCTCTGGATTTCACTGGTTGTAGAAGGCAGAATCGTAGGTTCAGCTTTCAAACCTGTAACAAGTTCGCTATGGACTTAATGCATTGTATTTAAAATCAGTAGAATTTCACAGTAAACCTGGCCATTGTCAAATGTTTCTCACGTGATCAAACAGCAGTTTATGCATCTTGAGCCTATTCTCTTCTTCACTGTGTGTTTCTTTGGGGTTAGAATGGCTATAATAGCTTCATCAAAAACGGTCTTCAGTCCTTTCTGTGTTAAAGCTGAACACTCCACATAGCAGTAGGCTCCTATCTGTCAAGAAAATAAGTTTATTCAATAGCAATATATCTCAGCTGTTCACTTCCATCTGTGCACTTCTGCTTTTTTCCCCCCTCTATGGTGACATTACAATGTTTGGCTGCAATCTAGAAAAGTTATCTGCATAACTGATGTGCATCCCCTGTAGGAGAAAATAAGATCTGTCTTTTGACCAGAGATCTGGAAGGTATTTAAATTGGTTGGTTTATAAAGGAAACATATTAAATAAACTCTTTAGATTGGCAATGGGGTCCTAAGGTATGTTTGATAATTAAACAGCAAAAAAGAATTACATGACCAATTTGTGTTTCAGAAATAAGACTCTATAAGTAAGTGTCCTGATAAGCATTATCCACATAGTAGTTAAACAGGGAAGTGCAATTACACAGGTCTGCTTGTTACCTCTATTCAGCAATGTAAGTAAATATTGTCAACTGGTAACCAGTCACAAGGTTTCATACATGGACTGGTAAAAGAAATGGGCAAAGTGGCAAAAGGAGTCAGGTGGAAATAGGGGGTGTTTTTCTTTGTTATTTGGTTTCATTTAGGAATATCCAGTTTACCTCTTTTGCTAACTTCTGTCCTTGCTCCACAGATATGGGCTTCTCTTTCATATCATTCAGTCTTGCCAGAGTTTTTGGGTCATCACGAAGATCAATCTGGCAAGAAAGATCGCAGTCATGTCGGAATACTTTTTTTTAAACAAAAGTCAGCAGACAATATGATACCCTCTTTTTAAAAGATAATTATTTAAAGGAGTATTACGTCTATTAAAAGGGAGTCATATCATGTTTAAGATCATGGACCATTCCTGATCTAAAAGCCCTAAATTTAAGCTGTGAACGACTACCTTTAATCCAGAAGGAACTAACATTTATTCTGTAATTCAGCTCTTCAAATAGATGTGATCATCTCAGAATACCAAAATGTGTATCCAGCAGCAGCAGAAAGATTAACCCAAACGGGATACCAACATGTGGGTCACTTCGTAGACGAAGCTCAGTCCACTGCCCACAAGAAGCAAGAGGAAATTGTTTCACTTCTCCCCTTGCTCCTTTACTTCAGCAAATATTGCATATGATTAATAGTTGTGGACCCAAGTATTTCCAGTAACATGGGCGTGGGCAGACAATTTTGTTCCGTAAGTCCCATGACTTTTTAGAAAGTCAGATGGAGATATGCAGCCAATCTTGCCACCCTGTTTACAATGGGTATAACAAGTTTTTTTTAAACAAAATAGAGGTAGCTCATTAGAGAACAACACAGATCTAGGTTTCTCTGCCACCTGTAAAGGTTGTTGCTCCAAAGGCAGAAGGAGGTGCTGCTCAAGTCCTGTTGGGCCTGAACTTTCAGCCCGAAAAAAAGCACCATACAACGATCCTAATTGTTTAAATAAAGTAGAACAGAACCAGATATACCTGTGTTCCTACTAGTAAAAAGGGAACATTAGGTGCATATTCCTTCAACTCCGGTACCCACTCTTCCTTCACATTTTGAAATGAAGCAGGGTTTACCACTGAGAAGCAGATAAGGAAGACATCGGTCATAGGGTAAGATAAAGGTCTCAGACGATCATAGTCTTCCTAAGGAAGAAAAATTCTGTTATCTGCAATATTAAATTGTTGCCTGTATTTTGTTAATTTTAAAAGTTATATTCAGAAACTGTATTCGTATTTCACAAATGTTGTTGAGGGAAACTTTCTGAATGATTACAACTTTTCCAGATTAGTTAGCGTGGCTGTTAGAGCAATATCTGCATATAAGGGTAACTGTATGTGAATTTAAGTATTCTGGAAAGTGTATTAATACTGATGGAAATTTACTTCTGTATGAGAATATACAGAAGACTACCCTTTAAAAAGTTTATACTTGAAAAAAAAAAAGGCTTATGGTTCAAACACACTTGCAGATCAAAGGTTGGTTATCTGTAGAGAAATAAGCAGATGTGACCGCTGTAGAGCCATCCAGGCGAGGTTATACAAACGTAGGCTAGATTAAGGGTATTTAATGCACTTGAATGTTCTATTTTGGATCAGATGTAGAGGTGACATTTAAGGCCCTCCTTGAATTTTATTTCTTAGAAGCTTTACGGTCCTGTTGCTAGAGATCAGTGCAGTAGGATCTTTTGTCTAGACTGTGCTTTCTGTAAGCAAGCCCAGCAAAGGGTCAGAAGGAGCAGAAATCCAGGATCAAGGCTATCAGGGGAATATTAATGCCTTTTGTTTGGGGAGGGGTTAGTGTGAAAAGATTATTATTTGGGTCATTTAGGGCCACAGCATTTAGAGCCACCAGTCATACTGCCAGGGCATACAATACTGTGGCAAGACAGGCATCTAGGAGCATCATCCCTATTGTAATCATCCCCATTCTAGCAAGAAAGTGGATTTTTGCCATGTATTTTAACTAACATCAGAAGGGAACATGCCCCAGCTTCTCTCTTCAAGGCTTCCTTTGGTTTTTGGCAATGAACCAATGCCTTACCATTTCTACCTTAGGTTTTGGGGTTGCTTTTAACATAGATAACTAAGACTGAGCCCAGGAATTGCAGAGACAGTGTCAAATGCTGGATTTATGCCTTTTCTTCCACAGTAAACATCAGTTTGTTATGGCTGCAGCAGCCTCCCTCTTGCCCATGTAAGCTCCCCGTCTTAATTAAATCTCACAAATATTGGAACGATTTGTTCATTAAATGTAGAGACAGAAATGTAATTCGACTCCATGTTTGAAATGAGCCAGAAAATTAGATTTTTGTTTCCTTGGCAACAGTCACATTACCAGATTATTAACCTATAGTCACACCCCTAAAAAAAGCCTTCATTGATTGTTATGTTTTAAACATGGTCACTAGAATTTCAGAAAACACGTAAGAACTTCTTCAGAATCATTTCTGCTAGGCCCATCTTTCCATTTGGAAGTCAACAGCTACGAGAAGAGGGCTGTTATTCTCATCATGAACTGGAGAAAAGACAAGCACAGGCAGAGATTCTGCACTAGCAAGGAGGTGACCATTGACCAGTATTCTTCAGTGCCTATTTTACAGTGTTCTGAATTGTAATCAGTATTCTCATGTGCCATTTTGACTGTAGGCTCTACTGTCAGTTTTGTATACAGGTTTGTCAATAAAATAGAGCATGCTTTGTTGTTAACATGGGTTCCCAATTTCACAACCACAGTAACTGGCACCACTGTGAAACTACAACATTTGACAGGCCTTTTCCCTGCTAGTGTCAGGCTCCTGCCCTGATTCAAAAGAAAAAAACAGTAACCTTGTCTTTTCCACATCTGTGGATGTTCATCACAGAAAGCAGAAATAACTTCAAGAACACCACAGCAAGTTGAAACTCTTTAACATTCAATTCTTTTTTAAGCATGTATTTTACGTTTTACTTTTACTACTGAATATAGTTAGATCCTGCTCATGGTTGTTCATGTTTTTCTGGGGTGGAGATCAAAATCCTAAAAGAAGCTTCCCAACTGCAAATTACACTGGTCCCTGGAGTACAAAATCTGCATGCAAGGACACACAGGAGGATCTGTCAGTTGCTCTCAAATTCAGCTTTACTAAATCATATATGAAGTGTATTACTGAATATGTTTCTTTAAAAGAAAATATCTAGTTTAAAGCCATAATTTGTTCCTACCACCAAAGAGCTGCCATCACTACACTCAACATTTTCTAAAAATCTCACATCTGGATTACGATAACTAGAATACTGTCTGCACTGAATGCTGGAATGCAGAAAGCATTTCGCTGTCACCAGAAATTATGTTAGTCCATTAACCTTAAAATACCTCTTTAGTTAATCCATTTCAAATTACAGATGGACCTTTTATTCATAGTAAATATTAATCATTTTCTTAAAGCTGATCTTGGATCTGAACTCCTTTCCTGCTCCTGCATCTGTTTATGTGCCCTTTCATTTATACCCTGTCCCATCTGCACTGGGCAAGCTGTGGGTCCCTCCAGTGTAATTAAGAAGTTAACCTGAAGGCAAGTACAATGTGATTGGATACATCACGTACCACGGCTAAAGATGTATGTGGTATTCGCAACAGTGACTTCACTACATTTATGCTTTCTTAAATAATCAGAGAATTTGGCTATACCCACCAGTCCTGCTGCTTGAAACCCGTCAGTGCTGTCAGGCTCTCCTTTCAACCTTGCCTGTAGCTCTGATCATTAGATTCATATTGATATTAATAGTGGCAGGTAGTTCTAACAAAGCCTTCCACCACATGCTTAGACTGATCCTGAGAGAGACCCTGCTTAAATGTTACCAACATCTAGTAGGCCATTTGTGCCTAAAGACTCCTTCTGCCCCCCAACAACCCCTCAGAGATAGCAATCAAACCTGTAAACTTTCTGTGATGTATTGGGCCTACATAACTGCTGGACTGGGTAGAAGAATTTGAAATACCAAATTAATTTAGACTTAATGTTAGAGAAGCCTGGAAAAATCTTATTGCTTCAACTATAATTTATTTCCTGAATCTAGTGTAAGGGAAGTAAATGTGGTTTATTCTAAAATTAAATGCAATGGCAAAATTAATTATACTAGCCAGTCAAGTTAAATTGCAATTTGAGTGCATGTACACACCACACTGTATGGCAGTTAGACTAATTAGACAATCTAATTGGAGGAGACACTGCATATATA